AATTTAAGTTCCTTAACAGCAAAAGGTAAACGCAAAAGGGCTTACTCAAAACCCCTGACAGCCTTCAACCCTTCAGGTTCAAGCGGCTCCAATAGGCTGGCAGAGAGGAGCAGACACCAGCCCCTAGCAACTCGCCCTGCTCCTTTGTTGTTTAGGTTTTAGGGTTTAGCGTTTAGGGTTTAGAGTTTAGAGAGTTGAGGTCTTGGGTTTCGGGCGGGAGTCTGGGATGCAGGGGTCTAGGGAGAGCGTTCATGGAAAGATGCTCCCTATGTTTTGTATATACACATATATCCCTATATGCAACGTTATCTGCCTATAACCTCCTTCTAGATGTCTCTCAGGGCTGTCAATAGCCCTTGCCTAAGAAGATGCAACCTGATGGGGGTTTGACTGCGGGATCCCAAAGTGTACACCAATATACCGTGATCCCTATCACAGAGATTGGAGGTCCATGGGTATTATACGAATCCGAGCTCTCGATTGACACAACCACTAGATTTCAAGCATTTTTGGCGGGCCAGATTGCGCGTCAAAGACTACTGTAAAAGGCAAAGGCATTTTGAGGCTGAAAATCAAGACCCTACCAAAAAGACCAAGGTCTGGGCTTAAGGTGGTTTAAGTAAGGCGTAATCTGAAGTCTCAAGAGTCTGAGGCTTTTCCATTCAAAACCATCAGCGGGCATGAGTAGAACTGGCTTGTTTTGGAAGCTTATTGTTCAAGGGGGGCACCCTTATCAATTAAGAGCTCAGATTCATGCAATATCGAAAGGAAAACTACACGGAAAGTGGCGTTTGCATCATGAGCACAATCACTGTCACCAACCCAAAGGAGGATACAATCTTACTCTATTTGGGTACCATAGCATCCCTAAATAAAGTACTACTCACTTGAACAACCTTTGGGGTGGTCAACATGGCTACCATCTTCTTTGTTCCGTGGGAATGTGTCGATTAGCTCCGCCATCTCTTAAAGCATGTGCAAGTGGTGAGAAGTAGGTAAGGTCAGGGCGAATCCCTATTCGTGGCATGGGCACAGCACAACTCGTACATCAATCATCCTAACCTTGCGTGGGCCATGTGGATCCTGGCTTATCCATGCCTGCAGCACCTCACGACATGCCTGAAGGCCTGAAAGCGATGGGTGGCGCTCATCGACTGGCTGCCATTACTCTAAACCTTCAAGCTGCAAGCAGCCCTTAACCCCGAAAACCCAGCCTCATGGCCCTTCGTGTGAAAACCACACACCACATTACATAGAATCCAAGTATAACGCCCGTTTGCAGGGGCCCCAGATGAGCTATAGTCTTAAACTCATAGTATCCCCCTTAAAAACCCCTATACTACTCCCCAAGATAATCCCCTACATGACCCCCATTTAAGGAGCTTAGACTATAGCTCAGATGAAGGGTGCATCCCCCAAGTCAGACAAAGCTCATCAATGAAGCCGGCCCCCTTGTGGATGACAAGGTTTCAGATTTAGGTTTTGGGGAGGGGAAGTCCTCATTTTTAGGAGTATAGTTTAGCACGTAGAGGTTTCATCCAGGGGTCCCCTCGTTTGTGAAAGCTACCATTTCTGGTTTAGGGTTTAAGGAGTTTAGGGGGCAGGTCCAGGAGCTTAGGTTCGTTGTCCCGGTGCGCTGCACAATTATGGACTATGGATTTACCATCAGACTGCAAGGACAAGTAAATTCAGAGTTGAATTGGTCCGTACCTTGTTGGCCAGTCACAGGGATCCAATAAAACCGGGGGCCAATAATGAGACCCTGCATTGAAAAAACCCAGATGACCTTAGCCTTTGACAGCAAGGACTCCATCCTGAAATTTTTGGAATGCTGTGGAGACGCAATGTGAGGACTCTGCACAGGATACTGCGAGCAAACTTCAGCTTTCAGGAGGTTCTGCATCTTGGTTGTTGGGTCCTGCTGCTACATTGTTTCAAGGCGAGGCCTTCATAGATGCTTGGCATCGGTAACAAGCTGAGCACCTCCAAAAAAGATCCCCTATACACAAGGAACTTCCAAAAAAAAAGATCAGAATTGTCATCTCTCTGCTCATGTCAAGCCTATGGGGGCAGCTCACCACACCCTGAACCCTTGGCTTCCCTGTGGGAATCTTTGCACAGACCAAGCTCGGGCAGGCCTGAAGAATGCCTTTGGGTGAGGACTATCATGCAGCTTAGGGTTCAGGATGTAGGTTTTGGGGACTATGGCTGACTAACACTGTGGGTCCCACTAAAGGATAAGCTAAGGATCCAACGAACGAAAACCGAAAGAAAGTTGTAGGGAAGACGTTCGACTCTGCGAACTAGACCCTCTTCTCATGATGAAGTTATTCAACCCTACCTTGTAAAGAGCCCCATATCATGCGGACAAGACTACTGAGTTGTGTTTCAGCCACCACTGGCAACCTTATGAAAGAAGCAGGTTGGACCAATTGAAGCCGAGTGCACAATGCAGTTCACCATACAGTGAACTAGGATGATAGAAACCATCCGAGAGATTAGGAGTTCACCTGGTGTTTAACTGAGGGTTTCTGCCTACCTGAGGATGGAATGCCAAAGGCATATAACCCCAACATAACCCTAATACAATCTCAATAGAATCCCAACATAGCCCTAATATTACCGTAATATAACCCCTATCCTCAGTGTCTTGGAATGCAGCCCTCAGCAAGAACCAGGGAGGCGAAGTGGCGGGTGAATGAAATTGGGGCTTGTTGGTGCCCTGTGACACCCCAACCAACCCTAAACCCTAATAATACCTATGAAACCACCAACAAGCCCTAAACCCTAAACCCTAATACCTATGAAACCCAAAACCAACATCCATGTCTTCCCCACAAGGGACCCCAAACTCAAGTCCCTGAGGACTTGTGCTTAGATGGGTTGGATGACATGGATCCCTGTTGTAGTCCCTGCATTACATAACACTGAATACGGCGATGACGGCAGTAATCATAACAGTAGTAAATGAGAATACATCATAATAGCAATAAATGCTTACAAGTCATTATAAATACTAACAAAGAAAGCCAATAATAAGAATAGTCATACTGACAATGAGAAAATAAAGCACACGCCCCCCTTCCCAACATGATGAACCCAGCGCCCAATCTGCCTTATGGCTCAAGGGCGTGCGGATCCACCCTCGCCCTTGGACATCAGAAAAAGCTGTGGTTATGCCGATAATTCTTGACAATAGTGATGACCATCAGAACAAGAACGAAAACCTTGCATGAGCATTAAGTTTGGCTGCTATTAGAGTGGTTTCATGCTGCCGACATAAAGATGCCAATAGGTGCCCTGGAAGCAAGCGTGCCAGGAGCTAGTCGCAGGTCAAGGGAATTGCATGACCCAGGCACACAAGCCAGCCTGCAAACATCCGAGATAAGATGATAAGGGTTTAACGCTCTTTTACAATGGAACTGAACAGCTACAGCCCTTGCAACGTTCATCACAGAAGGTTATGCAGCTATGCATTTCAGAAACCGATGCGTTTTCATTGCGTACTCTCGTCTCCCAGCAGCCTCTCTATCTGGGATGTTTATGCCAAGCCATTTCAGAAGTAAAACTTGTGGATGTTCCGGGAGAGCGATGCGAAACGATAAGCCAAGAATCTGAAATGTTCGCCGCAATATGCTATGAGAAACCATTTACGCTCCCACTATTTCACCAAACTCCTGATGAAGCTGGAGATCCGTTGGTGGGGACTATCTTTCAGGGTCAGACT